AAAATATATCTATGTCTATTTTAAACTTTTTTATATAATACTTTAAAATTATACATAAAAAGATAATTTTTCTAATAATTTTACGTTTATTATATTAAGTAAATATAAATATGCTTAATTTGAATATTTCATTCAAACATAATTTTAAAAAAATTTAATTAAATAAATTTAATATAATACTTTAAACAATTTGTTTTCGTTAAAATTAGCTTGAATCAATATACAATAATAAGATGTAAATAAAATATAATTTATATTAATGAAAATAAAAATCGGAAAACAATGAGTTATGAGATTTGATTAACACCAATCACTAAAATAAAATGATATTTTATACTAAAAATATATAAAAAAACAACAAAAAATTATCATTTGGTTTATATGTTCAATTCTAAAATAATTAAAAGGAACAATAATTAAATCAATCTAATATAATACTTTAAATAATTTATTTTCTTTAAAATTAACTTCAATTAATATATAATAATAAAATGTGTATGTATTTATTTTAAATTTTTATATAATACTTTAAAGCAAAAAATAAAAAAAAATAACTTTTCTAATAAATGTACGTTTCCAATGTCAAGTAAATATAAATATATTTAGTTTACATGTTAAACTTATATATTTAATTCTAACGTAATTATTTTTATGCTTTAAACAATTTATTTTTCTCAAAATTAACTCCAATCAATATCATAAAATGCATCTAATATAAAATTGTATAAGTATAATAAAAAAATTTGAAAAAATATTATCCTATTTCATAAAAAAAAAATAATTAACCAAAGTTGACTAAACATAAAACATCAACACTGAACATAAAACAGCACGAAGTAGCGTTTAATGTGCAAAATCTGATAATAAAGAAAACAACTCTCTATTAAAACCTTTTTCTTTATCTATTGCATCAATTCCGACATTGATAGAACTATATAGCAAAACGTCTCCCTTCACACTTTCTATGTTCTTGCCAAAATTAGATTATATATATACTAAATTCATCCTAATAGTTAATTTTTTTTATCAAGGACAAAATATTATATGAAATTTAATAATGACCAAAAGTAAAAGAAATTTCCAAAAATAAAACTAAAAATATACTTAAGTATTTTCATCAAATCAAAGTCTTTCTTTGATATTAACCATTTGGTTTTATATTTTGATTTATAATTTATTCTTCATCTTAACAAGTAATACTTAATTATAATTTTAATTAAATTTACAATTTAATTTACCGTGTCACATTGCGGATATTTTTCTTTAGTTATATATATCATGTGCTTAACTGTAAGCACATTGAGTGAAGAAAAAAAACGTGAATATTGTGATTAAAATAATAATAAAAGAAAAAAGTAAGAAAATGTATGGTGATGAATAAAGGAATTGGAAGATGATATTTAGTTAGGTATTGAGTAAAAAGAGGCGTCGGAAGGGAATCCCTTTTAACGAAAGGGAAGCAATTATTGAATGGCGTCTTAGAATATTAAGCCCTCATTTTTGTCCTAATTCTCCAATTATTGATTCTAAGTAAGTGGGATATCAACTTCTCCATACCATAATTGGCTATTGGAATAGACCATTTTCATTCCTTTAACAATTCAATTACACCCATTGCCATATTAATTAATGTAATATACTCTACTACTATATTGCCATATTAATTAAAATGTACACGTGTGTGATGTGTTATGGTGGACAAACTATTACACATTATTTTGTGGCTAATTTTAATGAATTAAAAGTCAACGGAAAAAAGTGTGTTTGGTGTGGTTGGCTAAGGTACCATATCACTACCAAGAAATTTCTTGCATGGAATGAGATTTTGACTTTGCTTTGCCTCTTGACTCGTGGCTTTTCATTTACCAAAGAGGTCTTTTATAAATCACCAATTTCTGATTTCTTGTTTGACTCATTTGTTGTGGAATTGGAAGTGCTGTGTGTGCAAATCCACCATCAACATAAACGAGGTTAAGGTTAAAACTAAGATACGTATTCATGTTCCCACCTAATAAAAAAATTTATCCATATACCTGGTTATGTTGCTTATAATAAAGGACAATTTCAACTTTCAAGTCATATATTATTCATTTATTTTTGACAGATTGAAACTTAATGAACACTTGTCCCAATTTAAGAGTGCAATTGGGACACCAAGTGGATATAGTCAAGAAGACTTTTTTTTTCCACGTTATTTTCTATTATTTTTTTTTAAAATGTAAATAAAACAAAAAAATGAAAATTTATTTTATATTTTACAAATTCTTATAAATTTTCATGAGTTACAGTACATTTTTTATTTATATTTGTAAGAAAATTTTACTTTAAAATTACTTTAATAATATAACATAATATACATAACCTATTAATAATAATATTTAATATTTATTTTCTTTTCTGTCAAAATAATATTTATTTTTCTAATGTAAGATATATAGTCTAAACACCTTAATATTTATTTAATTATTTTTAACATGAAGATTCAGGCTAATGTCTAAATAAATAGAAATCCAGAAAATTATATAAAAAAATAATAATTTGGGACCATCCGCTTGATCCCAAATAAAGAGTAGACTTGAATTATCTCAGTCCTTAGTGGATTTCAATATTTATATATAAATTGTGAATTCATACCATACATGTTATTTAACTCTATCAACTAAACTTGACTTTATTCTAACACTCATTGTGTGAGCTTATATGAGAAATTAATTTATTTTTGAAATTAAGCCATCAAATTTGACTATTCTGACACATACGATCATACCGATAGAATTTATGATTATCGTGAATTATAATTTTTAGCCATAGTATTTTTTTTCTACTAAACATCCTTATAATGTGATGTGAATCATGAGTCATATATACAAATACTGTCCTACCTAAAAATCTCTGTTTTAAATCCTTTTAATATTGAATAAAAATGTCGCTTTTAATTATTAAGGTTTTTTTTATTACCGTTTGTAATTGGAGTAGGTTTTTTACTAAAACAAAATATTATCATTATCTAAATTATTTCAATTTTATTTTTCAAAATAATTAAGAAAAAATATTAATCAGACTTTAAAATTTTTTAAAATGAAATCTGTTTTGCAAAAAAAGAATTTAATATTTGAAATAGAAGAAACAATATTTATGAAATCTAAAATATTAATTTTTATTTTCAAATAAATTTTTAGACATTAAACAAGTGAAACGGAAAGAATATTAATTTAATTTAGAATTAAATAAAATTTAATGATTGAACTTTTGTCAATTTTTATTTTTAGTCTTTAAATTTTCTATTTTATTAGAGAAAATTAGAAAATTTTAAAAATTAAAATTGTATTTAATTCTTTAATTTAAATATACTGGCAATGTAATTTATTAAGTTATGATCCAAGCATAATTTAATATGACACAATTATTAAATTTTTATGATTATTAATTTTAAGATGATATTTTAATTAAATAACAGTATAGTTTTTTATGATGATTATGCACTAAAATTAAACTATTGGTGCAAAAATGATTGTGTGTGAAGTTAGTGGCATTATTTGAGAGATATCTTCATTTGTTGTCCAATTCTACAGTTTTTAATATATAAATGATAATGATAAGGTTGCGACCCAGCACACTGCATGCTGATACTGTCATACTGACATGCTCAAATTAGCATTCAGACATACTACTACTTCTTTATAAAATAAATATGGTACAGTACTCTTAAAAAAGAGAGAGAGAGAAAGAGAAAAAAAATGAGAAATAATAAAAAAATATAATTGAAGGCATTAAAGTTGGATGGTCCCACTAGCAATTCCAAGTAAAAATTGTTTAAAGGTGAATGGTCCTTTCTTATAAGAGAGACCCAACTCATCTCATATTCACAAGATTCCCACTTCTATTCATTTTCATACACAACCTTCCAATCACCACTCACAACCAACTCAAACTAATTCCTTCCTTTCCTTTCTAACCATTACTCATCACTCATTACCAAACCCCCTTTCATTTCAGAATCATTTTTCTCCTCTTAAACCGTATTTTCATTCATTTATTTTCAGAAAACTATTTTTTTTGTTTTCAGAGAACACTATAAAAATGTAGACCAACCTAAGTAATTATTATTTTTAAATAGCTTAAAATAAGCAATTGTTGCTTTTTTAAATAGGTTAAACTAAAGATTCATTCTCTCTCTCTTTTTGCACAAAACTTGCAAACTTAAAACATGATGCAACACATGTTTGTTTTTTTTTTTACTTCTAAAATCTAGTTTATACTTGAAAAAAAAAACTTTAATAAAAGAAGTTTTCAAAATTAATATTTATTTTTTAGCTTTTAATTTTCTATTTACTTATTATAAATTAAATTACATTGGAGATTGAAATTCTTACTTTCTTAATTTTCTTAATTAAATATTTTCAATATCTTTTTTTACTTAACTTTAAGTGTACATTTAATATACTAGCCGCAACTATTTCTATTACCAATGTCGAATTACTCTTTTTTTTATATGTATATTTATTATTATTTTTAGTTATATGATCATTTTAAATTATCTTAAGACAACTAAAGACTAACCTGTATTTGTAACTATGACTAATTGTTGTCTATCAAATTTTATTTTAATATAGATGAGAATTGAATTCAAAGTCTATCATATTTCATGATAGACTTTACAACTATTTGACTGAGAGATTTGATTTAAAAATATATTTATTATGAATTTAATTATATAAAAATAAGTATTTATCCTTCATTTTCATGTTTTTTCATCTGCTTTGAAACCTTTTATTTTTTCACTACTACATTAATTTAAAAAAACTAAGAAAGAAAAATACTAGACCCGACTTTTCCCCATTCTAAGTCAGACAAGGTATATAAGCGAAGAAAACATTGAATATGAGCTCCTCAGTGACTTGACTCCATCTTGAACCTACTTTTTCCACATTTTGTTAGAGAAAAATGAGCCATGGATAGTGCCATAACATGAAGGACATACAGATCTAACCCAACCAAAATTAAAAAATAAAAAAGTCTTAATAGGAATTACATAGGACACAGCTGATTTGGGAGAATACGAATGCAATAATAATAAGACAAGTGCTAATTACAACCCTAACCAAATGCATCTAACACTAATTAACTAATTCCTACTTAAATTTTTTAAAAAATAAAAATACACACGAGTAGGTATTCCATATTATACATATGTTATATTATTATTATTATTATTATTATTATTATTATTATTATATAGACAAGATTGAGAATAGGATGGATGAATTTTGAGTTAATACTATAAACTAAGCTAAGGCAAGAACCTATTCACGTCATCCTCCCTAACCTTCAATCTCGCCTCCGATTCCGGTGCGGAGGAGGAGCTGCTGGCCGCCGGAGCAGGGATCCCGCCGCACTTGTCGCAGCGAGAAACCACCAGAATCTGACGGCAGGAAGGACAGGAGGAATGCGATCTGAGCCAGGCGTCGATGCAGGCCACGTGGAATCCATGACTGCACTGAGGCAGCACTCGGATTTCGTCTCCGGCCGCGAATTCCGTGAGGCAGATGGCGCAGTCGGCGAACTTGACCGCGGATTCGGCGGTGGCGGTGAGCCTGGGGAGGGAGCGGAGGACCTTCTTCTTGACGCCTTTGTTGGCGGCGGCGGGAGGAGGAGGCTGGGGAGCGGCGGCCGCGGAGAGGCGGAGGCGGCTGAGACAGCCGCAGCGCGCAACGGCGACGAGGCCGAGGACGCAGATGAGAGCGCAGAGGAGGGCGGCGAGGATGACGACGAAGTCGGAGTCGACGAGGGCGGAGTGGGCGGACGAGGTGGTCTCGCCTAAATATCTGAAGGGACGAGTCATGTGTTTTGGAAGGAAGAGATGCAAAGAGTGTGCGTTTCGAGTTTCCTTTGAGTGACCAACTACTATGCCCTTCCCCTCCTTTTATATTCCTCTCCTTTCTAATTTTACTATTTCTTTTCACTCTCTTACACTATTTCTTTTTCATAACTATAACTATTCTTTTTTTAAATCTTAAACCCATTCTTGATAAAACAAATAAATATGTTATAGATAAACTATACTGTTTATGATATTTACCCCCTTTTTCAATTCCTTAACAGCAATCTCACCACAAAGATGCATTAATAACTTTGACTTTAAGACCCATTGCCTTGGATCGTCCTAGAAATCGCCATCGGATAATTTAGATAAGCTTTTTTGCTAAATCCTTGTCGGGAAAAAAAATCTTAAATTACTCAATTTTTTTTCTTCTTATAGGATAAAACTGCTTTATACTTTTCAACTTTTAAAAGTTAAATTTATAAACTGTATCTTTTATATAATAAAAAATATATTTTAGTCTTTATATATGTTCTTTTTGCTTCTTTTTAATTTCAATAGTTTCATTAATTCTACTTTCTAATGTCTATAACAAGATATTAAAATAAAACAATAATACTATAGAAACTACATATACCAAATATGTATTTAAACCAAAGCTAAAACTATATAAACTCATTTTAATTTAAAAAAAAATTATCTTTCCTTTTTTCCCCCTCAAGTTTTATCGAAAAATTTATCCAATTCAAGCATATAGCTAGTTATATGCATTACGCTGTAATGGAGTCTTCATTTTTGCATCATACACGCAGACTAGTTATCCAATTCATACATGCGAATTCATCCAATTCCATCTGATGACATCCACCATTTGCAGTGAAAACTTTTATTGTAATTCAAATTGTAAAATAAATATAAATATTAAATCATATCCGAACTTCATTTTCAATCAATCACTTTAGTTCCTCATGCAAAGTAATTCGCACGACTAAACATAGATTTATGAATGGTCCCTTTTTGTAAGGGCGGGGCATAAGGTTGGGGTGAGAAACAGAACACGTCTACAAAAAAATGACAAGCAGAACAAGTCTATTGTCTACAGAAAAAAGCTCTCTGCACTTCTCACAAATCATATCTCACGTTCCATCTACCTTTGTAGTCTGCATTTAGTGTCCAATTATTCTCCCTAATCTGCAGGTAAGGAACCTGAAACAAGAGTTTTAAGATGGAATGTAACAATAAGGACACCATGAATTATATATAGCATGCAAAAATTGGGAAAAGGTGCATTAAACTAGATCAACAAAATTTCTTTGATAAATTGACACCAACTGCAACTTCACAGATTCTGCTAACTTCCTAATTCCAGAAAACCATTGGGTTGCTACCAGACGAAACATCAGCAATAGAATCCAGTAATTTTACTACTTTTGGTACCGAAAGTGAATTAATAAAAGTTAAATAAAGGCACAAAGGCTTGTCGTCAAAGCCCTAGATTCTAACTATTGTTACCATTGCAATCTTTCCTACTAATAAAAAAGATTAAAGGCTTACCATTCAATTACATATATTTTTCACTCAAGTGCATCAATCCATGTGTCACAATTCAATCTAGGTGAGAACCAAAAAAGTTTCCCTCCTAAAATACTCGCGTCCGTTATTTACAATATTTTATCTTATTAGATATAGATTGGAGATGACTTCAATTTTAATACACTTATTAGCTTTTGGTAAAATGAATACATTTATTTATCAGGTCAAAATCTACATAGTTGACAGTTAAAAAATGTTTTAAATTGCAGTAGCAGTTTCATCACATTTATTGATATTGAAATTATGGACAAATTCGGCCATCGCAGACATCCCAAAAACTTGACAATGTTTGAAACCTTGATTACAGCCAACAATGTTTAACCCTAAACCCTAAAATTGTTAAAACCTTGCGGCTAACTATTTTTACTCAAGACAGTTGAACCTACCTCTAACTCACCAGAGTCTTTTGCAGAGTCAAGAAACCCAAAAGTAGCAACAACTAGATGTAGACAGAGAGAATGATAGAAAATAAACTAGGGGCAGAATAGAAATTTCCCTCGATGGGAAAATGGGAAGTGAACTCATCGGTTTCGCAAAATTTTTCCCAGAAAACACAATCAGCACAGCAGCTACTAGATCATAAAACTACCATTGGCAACATTAAACTTGAGAAGTTATTCTCTCTCCAACAAATCTGTAAAAATCAGTGATCAGCCATGTTGCACTACATCATTTAGTTTTCTTTGTTGCAGTACAATAGACCATAACACAATATTGTTCTCATTTTCCTTTGGTTTTCTTTCCCCATATTTTCAATCCTTCTCATCCAAAAAACAGCTAAGGCAAAAGATGTAACCACTAAATTGACAAGATGGTTGCTAATCACCAAAGCAGTCTTGACACCACCAACATTAGGAAAAGGAACAAATCAAGATTCATATAAAGTCTGGTTGAATACAAGCTTGGAAACACTTTTAAGAATTTCTCAACTAGAAGCGCTTGACTTGTATCCAAACAAACTCATAATCTAAGATAAGAATGGGATAAAGTGTATATGCATGGTGATAATGTTGGTCATAATATTTGCAAGCAGCAATTGAAGTAAAACCTGTTCAAAAATTTCATAGCCAATCCTAAATCTAACATCTTGGTCCTTCTGAAAATTGAACTTGTTCCAGGAAAACTCGGCAGCTCCTCTGGACTTCCTCTGGAAAAGAAAAGAATTGAGCAATTAATTCAAAGGTAAAGCAGAAAATAGAAAGGCAGATGAACTACCTCTTTAAACTCAGTGTCAACATCACATCCTCCCTTAATTTTAAAATTGAGGAAGCCGTCAAGTGAGACGGGAAATGTTTTCTTAGCATTTACAGTATAGCGCCACTTGTCACGTTTATCATATCGCAATCCAACGCCTAGGGTTGCCGATAACTACAACAGAGTAATGTAATATAATATCATATCATATAAAAAGCGAAGAGGGAAAAGCATGGCATAAAGTAGGGTAAAATGAGGACTGACACTGGGATAGAAATGTCTTATGAGGGCACTGGAGGAAGTGGGTTGTCCAAGTTTGGTATCAAGCTCAGCGTGCACCTGGGAAAAGAGAATGTATGAGAAAAGATAAGGGTCATTAGAGTGTTGAATGAAATGGTTAAACCTGGAAGTAGGTGTTGGAGTCGATTCGGAATTTTTCCTTGCCGTGGATTCGTAAAGCTTTGGAATCTTCTCCATATCTCAGGGATGTCTCCATTTCCGGATAAAAAAAATATCCTACTCTTTCCTTCCAACAATTTTAATTTTAATTACAACCCTAACTAACACTCCTGCCGGACTCCCTTTTTTTTTTTTTTTTTCCTTGTGCAGGGGCCCATTGAGATAAGCCCAACTATCATGGGTTTTGTTTGATTCTGTACCATAGCAGCATATTAAACACCAGCAGTATTATGAATTATTACAAAAGCTTCTCATTCTTCATTAACATGATATGTATCAAGTCAGCCGTTTTTTTCTTATCAATCTTTTTATTTTTAAAATTTATTTGAAATTTAAAATAATAGATTCATGAATAAAAGTTTTAAAAAAAATCAAATCAAACACTACATAAAATGATAAACACAATAATATTTGAATATGTCCACCTTTTGGATACACGTAAAGAAAAATTGACCTTATTTATTTTGGTAGTCTCGGGTATCCTCCGACTAAGAACTATAAAGTAGAAACTAATTAATCAAAAAGCGAAGATATAACTACCTCTTACTGAGGCGAAGGATAAAATGAAATCCCGATTGCAACTCTTTTAAAATAATAAGACATTTTAAATGTAAAACATATTTTATTATTAATTCAAAGTTAAATATATAAATTATAATACATTTTGATTCATATTAAATATTTATCTAATCTCATTTTATTTTTACATATTTCACTTTACATAAGATAAATCCCAAGTTGAAAGTATTGCCACTATTTATGAGATTTATTTATTTATAGCAATGAAACTCACTAACTCAGTATTCAACTATATCAAATCATCCAGTGTTCAACTAACTATGAGATAACGTGAGAAATATTTTCCATAATTGATAATCCAATTCCATTGGTCTATATGAAGATATTGATTCTAATTAGTCATGTAATTAAAATATCTATTCGTATATCTATTAGGCTTGTTTAAATACAAACTTAAAAGTACTTTATGAAAGCTTTTTTATTAAAATTTTTTTTTTTAATAAAGAAACTCTTACAAATATTTCTAACCTGTATTTAAATAGATAAAATGACCAAATTTATAGGCTACATATTCAGAAATGGGCTTTGGATCTACTTTTAAAAAAAAATTCCTAAAAAGACCCTTCTATAATAATTCTAATTTTTGGAACATTTTCATTTATGTATATAATAAATGTAATCAAAATCTTAAAAGCTTCTTAAGAAAACAAAATAATTGTCCCTAATGATTTTTTCTTTCAAACATGCACTAATCATTCAAAACAATTGTTTATTTTATTCAAGTGATTCAGTAAATTTGAGAGACACGTGACATGGGTCATAACATGGGCGAAGGGTTTGTATTGACGATAATTGAGTAGTGTGTGTATGCAATCCATGTTTTCATATAAACCCGGATGTAAAATTAGCGACAACTACGATTCTGATCCATAGTCTAACACATTTATGCTCAACGTTACCGTAAATTACTAGTTGACAATATACCACAACAAAATTCCGACCAACAGAAGTATCATATCACTAATCTCTAAAGCAATTATCAAACCGCAACAAGTTTCTGACCTAAATCAAGTAAAACAAGGTCAAAATGGGAGCAAATTATCATCTCGAGCAGCATAGTCACCTATCATATTTCATCAATCAAGTCCATAAGATCATCAATCTCCCGTTTCAAAGAATTAATCTTCTGCTGTTGTGGAGCAATCCGATTCTCAATTTCCCTTCCTCCTAACTTCTTCTCATAGCAGTCTACAACTGTAGTGTGTTTCGCTAAAAGTTTATCCTGCAACTCTCTTTCCTTAGCAACAAGTTCCTCCACCTGAAATAAATAAATAAATTATGTAATTATAAATTGAGATTGATTTAAATACATGGAAGAAAATACTTATAACAACCTTGGGTAAAATTTGAGCAGCTTGCGGAGAAGATTGCAAGAATGCCAATGGTAACTTCAACTCTTTAGAGAGCTCTTTCAACGAGCTATCAACTGATTTTCTAGTTGCTTTACATCCTTGAATATCTCCTGTCCTAGAAAGATCGTGCAATGATGTTTCTAGCTTGTTATGTGCTGTTAAGCATCGGCTAATGATACCATGGACCTGCTGAATAGTTGCTTGCACCTGAATAGTGAAACACAAGTGTATAACGTAAGTACTACATTCAATTGCAAATGCTGGATTTTGTTTATGACACAACAAGTTGATTACCTCGTCCCACTGGAGCTTTGCTAAATAAGATGCAGAAGATTTGGAAATTGATATGTCTGCATGTGTGTAGACAATGCAAGCAACAAACAGAAAGAAAAACCCAGAAATCAACATTAAAGGCTCCCTGAGCATAGAGAGACTGTTGAACTTATAGTAGACCTGCAACACAAGCAATGATAATAAGTAGTATGCTCAATCAAATATCAGAAGGAAAATAAATATTGTATGCTAAGCAATCAAATCATTATTTCTCTGGTCCCTATGATATGTAAATATAAATAAGAAAAGAATGTTAATCGGTTAGTTAGGAAGCTATTGTTAGTTAGGATTTTATAACCATAAGCTGTTGGTTATTCCCCTATAAATAAAGCATGGCTGTTGTACATTTTAGACAGAATGAAAACAATGACAGAAGTGAAGTGCATGGCCATTTGATCTCTCTGTTTATGTCATCTCTCTCTATCCTATCTGTTTTACTATTCTTCACTCTTCCCCTCTTTCTTTCTATGTGTTTTGGTTTCTTTCTCTTTCCCACCTAAATCCTATATCACCCTAGTTCTTGTATATAGCAAATCTCTAACCCTTGCGCTTAATTTTCTGATGGCGGATATATTTGAAAAAATGGAAGCAAGTCATAAAAATGAACAAAAATTTCTCCATTTATAAACATATTGGCAGTGAGCACCCAATTCAATAAGGTGGCCAATCCATGAAATCTAGGGATATTCATTTTTCTTTTCTTGCAATAAAAATCTAAGAAAATTGTGTTATTTTTGTCATGTTCTTCAAAATGTAAATAGCAGTAATATGACCCATTAAAGCATGACCTTTGAGGAACATATGAAGTTGACCATGCATTCTGTATTTTTGGTGGCTAGACAGTACAAAATTAGCACTTTTATTTTCATGAAAAGATGCAACAGTAATACCTGAAAATGTTCATTATGCTCAGGCACAACATTGTTTTTCTCCAGCACAACAACAGGCCTACCACCAATATCCAAGTGGGAAAGCTTTGTCTGCAACAATTACATGAAAGGACAATAAAACCTAATCAAGGAAATGGAAAAGCTATGTTTTGGCAGAGCAGAAGATATCAGTACAGGAATACCTCTTGCCATTGTTTCACAGGGAATGGAGCAGATACTGAAATGTCTTTAGAACCCTCAGGCAAAACAACCTGGAGTTTAAAAGCATCAGGCAGATGTAATTGTAATTCAAACTGGTACAACTATATTATTAGACAGACTGGTATAACTATATTATTCAGATAAAGAAATCCATTTTCCTTAGGAATATTGCTTCCTCCTTTAAAAAGGTAAAACTGGTGTGATGTTGCACAAGTCTCACTGATAAATTCTCCATCGTAAGATCAAATTCTAAGTTTCCAACCAACAAAAAAGAAAAAGGAGTGAAATATATATTATCATGATAAAATAAACTCAGTCACCTTCACAAAGAGAGTGTCAATCACCAACTGATTAATAGGGGCACCAAAAGTGATATTAAGGAAGCGCTTTCCTTCTGATCCAAATAAGTAGTCCCGAAGTGGCAAGCCATATCCAATGGTAAAGGCCGTTTTCCAGCCACCAAACATAGGGTACCTAGGTTCAATCTCCAGTTCTGTCTGTGGTTTTTAAAGAATCATTATTTTTGGAAAATGTTTTTTAAAATGTATTTCACAGTTAAAAAGAAAAATTCAAGCGTGAAAATATCCACCTTTTTTGAGTCACCCCATAAACTAGAAGTAGAAATGTTGCCAATTTCATCCCTGTAGTACACAGAATGAGCTCTTGGAGGCAGCTTGGCAACAAGGCGCCTAAAGGCTGATGCACCTCTTAAATATGGCCTGGTCTGATAGTCAAGCCTGTAGCAGAAAATAAACTATTATGACATGCCAAACTAACAAAAAAAATCAAATAACTCAGAATCAAATAAACAAGGTGACCTAGAAAATTCTCCTTTACTCTGAGCACCAGCATGAATAATATCGTAATGCTCTGTGATCTGTACATTGCCCCAATGGGAAATTTCGATCTCTCGCACCAACTCTTTAGCAACAGCAAAGGGTTGGTTGTTCTCAAAATGAATAACTATTGGCAAGTATGAAAATGGAGGAAGATTCTCATATGGACCATATTTTAATTCAGATCCCTGAAGTTTTGCATTTTCTAGTTTTGTATAGGACTCTATTCTTGCCTCAGGCAATTTAACAGTGAGTGATTGGACCTTAACTGCATATGGAGAGAGATATTGTGCACTCTCTTGAAACAGTAGAAGCTGGATGTCACCCTGGTTGATTTTCTCTGGAAATGGTTGCAATGTGTGGGTTAAAACAGCCAAGACATCCAATGTCAAACTATCTCCCTTCCCAAGCCCCTTAGGTAAAGATACGGAATAAATTGTCAAGGCAGGAGGGAAATCTTTAGGGTGGACAACTTCCACAGGTAAACCAACACCAGGGGATGGTTTTACTTTCCCCTTCCCTTCGCTAAGTGTTGCTTTCAAGTATGCCAAGTGATTTGCCTGGCTTTCAGGAAAGGACAGCAAAATCTCAGACACAACATCAGATCCCGTATTCTCCACCTGAAAAAAATGGATAGGAAGTGTGACATAAAACAAAGATAATAAGAAAGAGAAACTATTTTAGAATATGAAAGGAGATAGGATTTGCCATGCTAGGGGAAATTATATTTAATAAGTCAACAGTTTTTCTTTTAAATTTAAACCTCTAATTTTTTTTCAAAACAAGGACAAAGTTCACATTCAAAATGCATTTATAAATTATTCAGTCCAGGCTTCTAAACTAGAGTTTATGTTGTGTTTCTTCCAGAAGTTAGGTTCCCATTTACCATTTACAATAC